CGCAAACATTATTGCAATTGCATTGATACAATTACAATACGCCAGGTGCCTGATTCGCCCCTGCCACATAGTCGTAACTATACCGCACCGCATGCATGCACGCAAGCGAGCGGGTTTCCCGACCGTCTACACCTCTACACGGTAAAAACAACGTATCATTTGTTGAGAAAAAATGGAAAACTTTGAGGGACTCCTATATTTGAGGAAAACAGCTCCGATCTTGCCTCAAAGATTTATAGGAATCTTCTCAATAAATGAGGAATAATAGCACATTTTTTAAGGGGGATCCCTCGAAATCTGAGGAGTTTTCCGCAAACAAGGGAGTTTCTCAAAGTTTTCACCTTTCCCTCAGAAAACTGAGACATCGTTTGAACCGTGTACGGCCCGAGAGAGTAGCGAGGGGAGTAGGCGGGAGTAGGCAACCGGCCCGCCCGAGGCAATCAGCCAGCTGGGGTCGTAACGCAAGTTATGCATTAGTTATAACGTAACCAATATTTTAAAAAAAGTTAACATTAAGAATCGTCAAGAGGCATTCTTGCTTCCGTATGACTTCAGTCCAGGTAACAGAGCCTATGACTTCAAAGTTTCAGTAGTCACTCAGAAGTTAGAAGTCATAACATTAGGGGTTAACATGAACCTCTTTTCAGCCAGTTAAGTAAGTTGTTTCAAGTAAAAGTTTACAAAATTGCGTTGGCACCTTCAGCAAAGTTCTCACCCATCAGGGTTTTGCTTCAGCCAGCGAGCTCGCACACTCTCGCACACAAAATTGGCCTTTCAATTTTTCACGCGGAAAGTAGCACAGTCTCGTTAGTTTTAGCCGCGTGCCCTACCGCTATCGCGTGGGTGGATGGAGAGGGGGGACAGCAGGGAGGAAGCCTGCGGCAGGTTGTTTCGCGGACAAGTCTGCCAAAGGTTGAAAGTCAATAACAGTCAATTTGTCAAGAGAAGGAGGGCTGAAGTTAAAGGGGGAAAGGGACAATACCACGTATGAGAACACATTACGAACACTCACACACTCGCACGGTCGTGGATGTAGTTCAGATACAGAGCTGTTGTGTGTTAGTGTGTGGGTGAGAGCGGTTGCCGGCCGCTAAGTGAAATGCGGGGGGGGGAGCTGCACCCTGGGGTCCCGACGGCGAGAGACACACATTGTGCGTGAAGCCGAAAGTGATCAGGCAGCGGTGTGCTCCACAGCAGGCCTCGCTGGCGCCAATGGCTTCAAAGGTGCTCTCCCAGCCCAATGGCCATAGAGAGGCTCCTAGTGGTCTTATTGCATTGGATACTTCAATGGGTGGCACACTCGCCAACGGCACCACCCACACAGTAAAACGCAGCAGCTTTGATCAAAGGTCGCCAACCCGTCGACATAAAGACATCGTGTTTATTTTAAGGAAAATTCATCCAGTTATGTTAACTATTTTGCAGTCAGAACAAAAGTTTGTGGATAATGTGTCAACTATTTTTACAGTGTTGATGGCTTCAGGGGCAGCCACCACCTCCCAGTGCTTTCTCTGAAGACCCAACCAAAATTTTCGGCTGCACCGAGCTATAAAATAAGTCATTACGAGGGGTTCAAGACAAAAGGGGGTGTCACTTACGCGTTCGGGACGGTCCGAGGGACGGTGGGCTGGGCCCGGCTGGGCCGTGCTGCTCGAGGCGCCACGGTGCCCGGCAGGCCGTGCCCGGCAGGCCAGGCCGGCCCAGGGGCCCCCCGTCTCCCCCTCATTGCACAGCAGATGATGGCGAATTTGATGGCGAGCGACAACAGGACACGGAGCGTGTCGTGTCCTGTGGGCGATCCTTGTCAATGTGTGTGTGTGTGTGTGTGCGAGTGCGTACGTGTGTCCATTCACTTTCACTCAGGGCGGACGCTGGCAAAGGTCCTGGGGGACACAGCTGTGCGGCTGCAGCTGCAGGGCCCGGCCGGCCCAAGGGTGTCGCCGCCCCTAACGTCACGAGCCCACACGGTTAGAGAATCATTGCAAATACTAGAGCTAGCCGGCGATCGCGATCAGTGACCCCAAACACAAACACCATTCCAAACAGCATGCACACTAAACCTATATGTACTTTGTTGTGCATAACATGCACAGCTGTAAGCAGCCATAGTTATGCACCAAATTTCATGCATAACTATGTAAAACTTCAGCATTACTATGCACAAATTTGTGCATAGTGGCCTTAGTTTTGCATACTTATGCATGAAAAACTGTGCATAGCTATGGCTGCATGAAATCCTGCAGTGGCGGATTAAGGTCCGGCTGACAGGGGGCGATGCACTGTCGGTTGCCTACATAAAGGGGTTTTGTGGCGCAAATTGCCTACCTTCCAGGCGGCTCTCTAGAGACGACAAGGGGGAGATCGCCCCCCCTCCCCCCTTAATCCGCGCCTGAAATCCTGCAAGTCTTATGCACAACAGAATGCATAAGGATTTAGTGTGTGCATGTTCTCTTCACGGTAAAACACGATGTCTGATTTGAGGTAGGTAAATGGGGAAAACTTTGGGGAACTCCCTCGGTTTGAGGAAAACTCATTAGATTATATATTTTTTATTTTTTTTGAGAATATTCCTCGAAATCTGAGGCAAGACTTGAGGACTGCTTTTCCTCAAATGGAGTTCTTAAAGTTTTCCCTTTTTTCCAAAAAAGAACAGATATTATTTTTACCGTGCTGAGACCGAGATTAAATTTCCTCGCTCTTTATGAGTTTTAATTTTCGGTTCTCATCCAATGTGAGTAAGGTTTACACAAATGGGCGAGGTCAGAAAAAACTCATTTCCTTGAACTGAAAATTCGGTGAATAGGGTGAATCTGACTCAAATAGACCGAGTGTAAAATTCTCGACAGCTACAAACCAAAACTTCCAGACCCACTAATGGAAATAAGTTACAAAGATTCCCGAAGTACGGACAACGTATGAAATCACTGGAAAAACAATGGCACTAAACAACACCTTTCCTGGGGCACTAAAGTCAAGGGCGCAGTTTAGTGCCTTTACTGGATCACTTAAGTTTAGTGCCTTTCCTGGGTCACTTAAGTTTCGTGCATTTCTAAAGGCACTAAACTTGTATGGAACTCATATAGAGCTAGCCAGCTAAAGGGGTGAAAAGTCACATTTAGTGCCCTTAGTGCCCCTAGCGCACTAAACGTTGTTAGTAATGTCTTTTAAAGGTAGGGATTCGCACCTTTCACTGTGAAAAATTGTCGTACCGGGTACAGGAAAATTTTCCATGAAAGAAGTCGTACAAGTACAATCTAAAATTGTACAATTTACTAGCCCTATGAATCGACTTGGAATCGAATATCGAGCGACAGTGGGAGGTTGTACAT